CAGAAAGTGTCACATGACTAGACTGGCAGCATGGAATGGTGCTGTCGATGGATATAGTCGTTTTGACTTTTTAAAGTACTTAGCACTTTAATTTGGGGGCACCTGGGTGGCTCAGCTGGTTAAGCGGCCAACTTCGGCTCAGGTCATGATATCACGTTTCGTGAATTCAAGCCCTGTGTAAGGCTCTGTGCTGACAGCTCGGAGCCCAGAGCCTGCTTGAGATTCTGTGTGTCTGCCCCCGCCCATCCCTGCTTACGCTCTCTCTCAGAAATAAAATGTTTAAAAAAAAGTACTTTGTACTTCAATTAAAAATGTTTAAATGTATATATAGAAAGTTGGGGAAAGAAAAGAAAGGGAAACAGACCACAAGAGACTCTTAATGATGGAGAACAAACCGAGGGTTGATGGAGGGTAATGGGTGGGAATGGGCTAGATGGGTGATGGGTATCAAGGAGGGCACTTGTGATGAGCACTGGGTGTTATATGTAAGTGATGAATCACTGACTTCTACTGAAGCCAATATTGCACATTATGTTGACATTTAAATTTAAAAAAACAAGTTTTTAAATGTAAATAATGTGGAAAAAGCTACTTGTAAGATCACTTAAAAGTTGCCTCTTAGTATTTAGTTAGATGAAAGTAGTCAAGATTTTCTAATGCGCTTAGTGCAGTTGGAAACAGCCAAGAAAATGGACTGTACATGTCTTACTACTTGGGGGCTTACTGCCTTGAAGGAAAATGAGTGCTTCCACTTTAGAGCCCAGGTGACCAGAGAAGGTGCACCAAGGTCCTGCCATTTCCTGAACTCAAGGTAATGCAGCTCAGGAGAGGGAAGATGAGAAGTGGGTCTGGGGAGTCGGTGGCCTGAGATCACACCTGCGCTCGGTGCCCTGGTGCAGGCAGTGGCTCTTGGTGAGAGGCCTAGCCTGTGGAAAGTCAGCTTTGACTCTGATTCCCTCCCTCTCTGCTTTTCTTCTGCAACTTCCCCTTTTCTTCTCTGGGGACATAGGAGATTTGCATCTGGAGGCGGGTTTGAGTTGGATGCTAGACTGCATCTGGCTGCCAGCTGTGTGGCGGCTTAGTAGCAGGGTGCCAGTTGGTTGGTTGGTCCTTTCTCCTAGACCTCTGCATGGCAACATCCCGGTGTCTCCTTCAAGTTGTGTCTCCTCCTGGCTCTCTCCAGAGGAGCCCTTGCTGGTAATAGCTAAGGTGTCAGCAGAGACAGGAGTGGCTTTGCTTTCATTACAGATTTTTTTTAAGTAATAAAAGAAACAAGTGTAGGCTCTGTTACTATGTTACTTACTGTAGGTCTAAGTGGGACCTTCACTTCAACATATCTAAAAATTAAAGAACTTTTAGTAGTTTGCACAATGTATAAAGAAATGGCAGTAAGCACACCATCTCTAAGGCTGTGGTTGGTCTGCATCTCTGGTCATGTGACATTGCTTAGACCAGTGCAGTGGCATGGAGGGTTTTTAATTGCGCATCCTTCCAATCAGTAAGAGAAACTGAAGGTGTATATCTGACAGAGATGTATCTACTTAACATACCTTTGCAGTGAGTATGCATATTATAAAACATGCAAAAATAGCTATCTTAAAAGGGTGAGCTACAAATAAAAGTAAAAAAGAATTCAGTGTTTTTTCCCTAGACCTCAGTTGATGGTCTTGTTCACTTTTAGAGACTGCTGATACAGATACCTACCATATTAGTTCTTCACTTCTCTCCTCTCTTAATCTCAGTGCATCAGGGCACCCTCCACAGGGTGGTGGTGGGGGGGGCAAGGAAGGGTGAAGTCCCAGTCTTTTGAAGAGGAATGATTCTCTTAGAGTTCATTGCCTATAAGACTTTTTAAACACCTTTTCTCATTGTAGACCCCAACTGTTGACTTCAAAAAAAATAATAATAACCATTGTAAACTCCATGCCATGATGATTTCTGGTATAGACTGCCTCCTTCCCACGCCTAGCACACACCTGTTCTGACAAGTTAGGAAACTGAGGCTCCTAGAGGAGAAGTGGCTTGTAGCAGGAAAGTGGGGTGGAATCAGGACCACAAGCTCTGTCCCTTGACTCATTTCATTTGTCTTTCTAGGATTCCATGCTGGGTACTAAAACTTCCCAAAGGACCCCTCTAGCCCATTTTGGCTACGTTTGTTATCTAAAAGTTGTGAAATTCATTGCATAAGGTTCTTTGCCTCTTCTGAACCGTTCATATTATTCTGATACACTTGGCACCTAAATTCTCTGAGGCTAAGGGGCAAGTTTAAGGGCGTAGATACTGCTTGCCTTTGTTTTTGTTTCCCTTTTCTTGGTTCTTCTGTTTTCCTTTTGTCTGATTAATTTGGAAGGAAATTGTTTACATATCCTTGTCAGGTAGCTTTGTTGTGATTGTGGGTTCTTTGTCTCATCCAGAGGTGAGGCCCTTCTTACCTCTCCTACCAGGTGTTTGCTGAACCCAGTGTATTCTAGCAAGTCATTTCTTTTTTATAAACCTTAAAGTGTCCTGGTTGTTGCCAGCCTTGCCCATGATTGTTCTCAGAACTAAGCAGTGCTGAGTGTGTAAAAATAGTAGAGTGCACAAACCCACCCTCACTCCTCAGGACAGAAACTTCCACAGAGCTTCCGCACTCACCTCTTCAAGGATAACACAATGATTTTAAGCTTTAAAACTGATCGAATGGGATTCTTTGTGTTTTAGGTTTATCAGAAGGCTTTTTGTTTTATTTTGAATGTGTTTATATTCAAAAGGAAAGCTCAGAAGATGCTTTCCTTTGGAAAACATGGCTAACCAGGAATATCTGAAGGAATTAAATAATATCTATTTAAAGCAAAGAAACTTGTTTCCCAATTGGCAAAATATAATGATTTTTATTACCAGTGTTAGAGAAATGGTTGTATTCTGAGCTTATATTTGTCGTAAGTAATGTACTGGTAAAAGCCACTCTCTTCTTTTTGTTCCTGAATAGAAAAAGCAAAAGATGTAATATAGGAAAGATCTTAGCTTAATTTGCTTTGAAGTAGAAGAGCTCCAGTAACACTGCTTGGACGAGATTCTCAGATTTCTTACCTCAAGTTTCTGTATTATTTTGCTCATGACATCCTGGGGCAGGGTGAAGTGGTTTTGTGGGTTTTATTATCTGGTAGCTAGTTTTTAAAAAGTAAGGCCTTCTTCCTCCCAAGGGTGCTACACAGTGCTCAGGGCCAGGTGCCCTGAATGCAAGCCACACCATGGCATATGTGCCTATATGGGTGTTACGCTAGCAAATGACAGGGAGCAAGTACATTATATGGGGACAGTATAGATGTTTCAATTTAATAAAGATGCCTTGGCAATTAAAGTTGTCATTTCTAAACACCAGGATAGGAACTCTTTTCTTTCTATGACCCCACCCACACCCATGGGATACTGGTGTGTTTTGTGTGTTGAATTCTAAGAGCAGACGGTGCTGGGGAAAAAAAATAAAGCATGAAAATATATGGAATAAGAGGAGATGTGGCCAAACGCTGACTCAGAACTGTATTGAGAGTAATGGTAATGTAATACTCAGCTGAGAGAGACCAGGTACCAAGTAATCCTCTCTGTGCAAGGGTTCCACCCGTAAGAAGACATTTCTTTCTATTTCTCAGGAAATAATTTTTAAGTGTCTGCCTGCAGAATGAATACTTGTAGGGAGGGGGTGCAGAAGGAATACTTAAACTGTAATAAATACCTACTTTTATGCCCATTATAAATATTTATGTCTAATATTCCCAATAACTTTATCCCATACTTTCTTCTTTAATAATCTTAGTTTCACATTGAAGTCTGAGGTACTACTGTCAGCTTCCTGTGTCTTGAGAAATTCGATGACTGTATATTCTTTAGAGCTGTGCTGTCTGATACAGTAGCTACTAGCCACATGTGGTTCTTTAAACTTAAGTTCGCTTCATTGAAGTAAAATTAAAAACAAAGTTCTTTAGTTGTACTAGTCACATTTTAGGTCCTCAGTAGCAACATGTGGCTGGTGGCTACTCTGTTGAATAGTGCTGAGAGAGAACATTTTCATCATTCCAGAGTGTTCTATTGGATGGTGCCAGCATAGATGCTAGCATTTTTCATATTTGTGGGAAGAACTGGTTAATTTTATACTTTATACTGCAAAAGTGCTTTATTGACAGATACCTGGGGCTGGATGAGAAAAGCAGCCAGACACAGGTGCCCAGTGTGTCCCATTGCTCTATACTTTGGGGTTATGTAGAACAGCCTGGATTAGGAAAGGTTGTCAGAGTGAGTCTACCTACCTGTTAGTAGGATGCACATAGTTAATACTACAGGCATTAGAGGCAGAGTGGCCCTTCTAGTTTGGGACTTGCTAGCTGGGTGACACTGGGAAGTCATGTAACTCTTCTGAACCTGTTTTCTCATCTGTAAAGTAGGATTGAAATATTTACCTCTAGGTTTGTTAGAATTATATTAGATAAAGGAAATGGAATAAAGAACATCAAACACTGAGCACAGTACAGGACATATAGTAAGCATGTTGTGCAACAGCAGTTTCTTAAATTCAATACTGTGAATAATACTGGCATTTCTTACTCTTGTTGATGTCAGTTTCTTTTTCTTCTTTTTAACTATTTCTCTCCTTTCTTTGCTCTACTTCTGTTCTCCTTTATTCCTTTGTCTTCTTTCTTCTGACTTAAGGGCCCTGGATAATTGTTAGTGATGTGCTTGGATAAAGAATTTCCTGTCCTTTAGTTGTATAGTATAGTGAAGTATGGGGAATAATTGATATGAAACGAAACCAAACTGTAAGGATCCACAGAAGCACCCCACCTTTGACCAGTATTTATGAGGAAGCTGGTATATATGGGGTGGAGGGACAGTGTAGAAATAACTGGCCAGTAGAGATGGGGTCTGTGAACTCCCCCTCATCAGCACCCACCTGCAAATGGTCAGCAGACTGTCATGAGAGCAATATTTAGAAGATCCCTGCTGATTACATATTTTCACTTGCGTAGCAACAAAGGAGAGAACGTGAAGCTAGAAGGCAGCAAGAACGTGAACAGCGAAGGAGAGAACAAGAAGAGAAGAGGCGTCTGGAGGAACTGGAGAGAAGACGTAAAGAAGAAGAAGAGAGGAGACGGGCAGAAGAAGAAAAGAGGAGAGTTGAAAGAGAACAGGTTAGTTCACAAAAGCATGTTCTGACCATGAATTTGTGAGGTTTGTTGTTTTGCAGAGTTTGGGGATTTGGGACAAAAAGTACAAACACACACAAACATTCAAGACTTCAGAGGTTTGGAAATGCTGAAGCATAGTTGGAAGTACAGCAATAAACTGAATCAATAAAATGAAATTTAAAAACAATGGATAAATCTTTATATTTAGAAACTTCTTGAAATCAATTGAGTGGTCTCCAAATAGTGTGATGCCCAAAAGATTTCTCAGTGTATCTTTTTGGGCTTGGCTTAAATGCTTTGAACCCCAACCAAATATCTCAGTGATAATTAGCCTTTTCTTTAATGAACTTAAAAACTAACCACGAGTAATGTGTGAAGTATCCAGTGGCTGAATATTGTAATAAACATATTTGCATATAACTCAGTATATGGCTGTGTAGCATTAGAAAAACTAATAACATTGTGGTTTTGTTGAGCCAAAAAAGATAATGTTTTGGTAATACTTAGAGCCTTTTATTGATGGCAGCTATAGTTGTCTTTAGAAATCTCTGTTCCTGGACCTGTCTGTGCTTTTGTGTCTGTGCCATCAGTGTGAGCCCCTCAGAGCCTTTTCACCCCTCACGTATTTGAAGTGATCACTCTTCGTTATGAGCTCTGGGTAAAGGAGGAAAGATATGAATGGAGACCAGTTTAAATAATATTTGAAATTCATACTTTAAGTACTTATCAAGTATGGTATTAACTTCCAAAGCTGAGTATTCAGCTACTATCCTTGATACTGATCATATGCTTCAGGTTCTCTGCATGTGTACTGGTTCTTCCTAGGAATTTAAGGATACTTTTGTTACCTTATTGACATTATTGGCCAGTCAGCAGTGGTGTGTTTTGGGTTGGTTTATTTGTTTTTCCCCCACATTCTAATTTATACTCAGAAGTTGCAAAGAGGAGTAAAGGTAAGCTTTTGAAAGTTACGTCTCCTAGGGATGCTCTTCACAGTGTGATTGTGAGAGGGGCATGTGAGAGTAGTACTAACCTTCACTGTGCCAGTGACGTTTGTTAGCTTTCATGTACAGCACGTATTCTTCACTTCTTGAAAAGAGATATCAGAATAGTTTTACTTTGCTTTCCTTATGCCATTGCAGAATCTTCCCATGTTAACAGTGCTGTAAAAAACATGTCATTTCTGCATTTCTGCATGTTTGTGTACATGTATGATTGTATTCTGCGTGCTCAGGGTATGTTAGGACCTTTGTGATTTGGATAGATGTGACTTTCTTGGTTGTCCTTGTATTTTAAAGCAAGACAAACGATTGTAATAATATGATCTTTCAAGATATGATTCAGTTCAGTCTAGTTCAAAGAAGAGGTGAGTTGGAATTCCGATTCCTTTCTTAGCTGTTGCAGGGGAAGGCCGTGCGTCACGCTAGGGCAGTGCTTGGCGTAGCATGTGCCGTGGAAGGTCAGGCTATGGGCAGTGGGACACGGAGCCCAGGTTGGAATCAGAGTGTTTTTGCCAACACCCTTATAGATTACACTTGCCCCAGATTGGTTTTTTTGGTTAAGGTTTATTTTATAAGATAAAGTTCTCTAAGGAAATATATATCATGATTTGTGTTAGCCAGCATTCTCCCAGTCAGAATTATTGGTTAACTAAAACTTCCATCCAGCTCAGATGTATAGCTTTGTTTATTTTAAAGTGTGCTCCATGGTACAAGTGGATGGTCAGCATTAGATGCTGTAAAGACATAATCTGAATTTCAGAATAAAATTTCTCTTCGTAGACCCCTTAGCCTTCTCCCCTTCTGGAATAGTTAGCTTTTTTCCCTCTTGAAAGGAAGGAAATGGAGGTGCCTGGGTGGCTCAGTCGGGTAAGCATCTGACTTCAGCACAGGTCATGATCTCACGGTCAGTGAGTTCGAGCCCCGCGTCAGGCTCTGTGCTGACAGCTCAGTGCCCGGAGCCTGCTTCGGATTCTGTGTCTCCCCCTCTCTCTGCTCTTCCCCCGCTCGCTCTCTCTCTCTCTCAAAAATGAATAAACGTTAAAAACAAAAACAAAAAAAAAAGGAAGGAAATGTCTTGTTTGTATTTCAGAGTTATTTAATGTCTGTCTCCTGTTTGAGCCTCACAAAAAGTTTTGAGAGTTGTAAGAGAATACTCTTTTTTTTTTTTAACTTTTTATTAAAAAATTTTTTTTGTTTATTTATTTTTGAGAGAGAGAGACAGAATATGAGCACGGGATGGGCAGAGAGAGAGAGAGAAGGAGACTGAATCCGAAGCAGGCTCCAGGCTCTAAGCTGTTAGCCCAGACCCTGACATGGGGCTCGAACTCACAAACTGAGATCATGACCTGAGCTAAAGTCAGACACTTAACCAGCTGAGCCACGCATGTGCCCCAAGAATATTCTTGATACTCATTTCTCAAATGAGGAGACTGAGAAAATGGGAGCTTGAGGGCTTCCTAAAAGTCCTAGATCAAGCTCTCTTGATTTCCAGGTGTATTAAATATGCATGCAACTTCAGGGTTGTATTTCTCCTCTTTGCGTGTTTTGGGTATATACCTGTTTTCATTGTTCCAGAGGCTTGTCATTCTTTTCCCTTGAAAATAAGCTCCCTCTCTCCCCACAAACACACACACACTCTCACAGTCTCTTCTTGAAGAGCCTGGCCTGTTCATTTGTGGGAACTCACCTGCGTCTGGTGTTCACAGATCATGGCTTTCAGAATGTAGTCATTCCAGGTACCTTCTGTGTCATCAGAGAAAACACAAATCATGTTTGTTCTGTTTTAAAAGTAAATGCGTTTGGGTTTGGGGTTTTAAAAATTGGCAATCTATGCTTGTTTTAAACGACTAATACGAGCTCTCTAGGGCAATGAGAACCCTCCGGTTTCTTATCTAATTAAACTTGATTTCTCTGGTCTACCACCCTTAAGAGGAATATCATAGTTCTTTGCAATCCTGCCTTTGTATATAACAGCTGCGTTCTTACCGAAGAACTTTGTATGTATCCGTGGAGTGTGTATCCTCATTTATGAGACTCCTTAGGTCTTCGTGACCAGTTTGGAAATCTTGGGGACAATCCTTCACTGTATGTTTTTAACATAGTCATCACTAAGTGAATTACTGCTGAAGACCATTGGGGCACATGGTTCTTGGTGCTCTGTTCAAGTGGTTCTGACGCTCTCCTTTGGGGTAAATTGATGGCTGGGTAATTTCTGTGTGACAGGAGTATATCAGGCGGCAGCTAGAAGAGGAGCAGCGGCACTTGGAGGCCCTTCAGCAGCAGCTGCTCCAGGAGCAGGCCGTGTTACTGGTAACGCCCCGTACCTGTCCCGTTCCGTAGCAGTAGGGCTCCTTTCTCTGTCCCTCCCCTCAGCTTTGGGCAGAGCCATGGTGCTCACCAAACCATTCTGGTTAGCGTTGTGGGCTGACAGGCTCAAACGGAGACGTCCTCCGTGGTCATGCTGCTTTGGGCACATTTTGAGGTGGCTTCTCTTTACCGATGTATTTCCTGTTAAAGAGTTAACTGTTCTCTTTGGTAGACAGCACGGTTTTAAACAGAACTTGGCATTTGGTGAGCAAACTAGCATGCCAAGGGCTGACAGTTCAAAGCACATGCCATAGGATTTTTGCCTAGTACACTAACTTTTGAAACCACCAAAACCAGCTTTTAATTGGATTCTCTCTCTGTCCAGTGATATTATGGTTAGCAACAAGCTGTCAGATTTTTCCACAGGTAATATGCTATTTTAAAATCCCGGTCATTTTGCTCTGTTACAAAACAAGGGGGACAAAAGGCATGGTCTTTGTGAAAAGTTGAGAATGACTCCAGAGAAGAGGCGAGTCGTGCAGTGTCCCATAGATTTAGTATTCTCCTCTCCCTCTCCAAGGAGTGCCGATGGCGGGAGATGGAGGAGCACCGGCAGGCAGAGAGGCTCCAGAGGCAGTTGCAACAAGAACAAGCATATCTCCTGTCTCTACAGCATGACCACAGGAGGCCGCAGCAGCAGCAGCCACCGCAGCAGGACAGGAGCAAGCCAAGCTATCACGCTCCAGAGCCTAAGCCCCACTATGAGCCTGCTGACAGAACCCGAGAGGTATTTTCTATCCTTTGTTGCTTAAATATGGATCCCGTATTGCTCATTCCCTGGGAGGTCATAGAATGACTCTTAGGAACTGTGTAATAGTAAGCCTAGATGGGCACACTCTTTTGGTTTTCTAGCCGAGAAAATACGGTTCATACAAGTGAAAGGACACTTGCCTGAGATCTCTTATCTGCTTGGTCTTTTCTCCATAGATCAGAGTGTCTCTGTTACAAATCTTGGTAAAGTGAACACTAAACTAAACATGGGGAAGATAGGATAGCAAAATCATTCTTAAAATGTACGTGAGGGGATGGTGGCCTGGTTAACTATTTTTCCAAAACCACCATGAAAATGCACGGTGCCTGTAGCCCAATTTTACTGACTTGTCAAAGATTGTGGTTTGTTAATGAAATGGGTGCATTTGGGCCACCTAGGGCCTCCTGGTAAGGATGTAGCGAAGCAGTAACTGTTCCAGAATACTAGGGACCCCAGGAGCCGGTTGGCTTCTGGAGTGTGTTAAAACATGGCCTGTAGGTGGCACCCTTCCACCACGTCTCACCCTCACTGATAGTAGATTCTAGGAGCAAGCGTTCTGCTTATCCTAGAATGCCTTTGTTTTGGTATGATGAAATGTGTTTTGAATTCATGATGATAATCTTTTAACCCTAATCCATTGATGTAGTTGGTTGTGACATTCATTTTCTTTCTTCTAGTTTATTGTCATATACAATCTTAGAATTCTTGCCAGGAGGAGATTTTAAAAGCTTAATTTTTACCTTCATATTTCTTTATCTCAAATCACATTTTAGCCCTATTATATTTGTCTCCTTTCTTTCCTTGTAGTTAGAGAAAAGAGAAAATTTCTCTCTAGGGCCCTTCCACTCTCAGACTTTCTTTGGGATCTCTGCTTTTCCTTACTAACACTGAGTTATGTCTTCTAATTCTCTGATGCAGGTGGAAGATAGATTTAGGAAAACTAACCACAGCTCCCCTGAAGCCCAGTCTAAGCAGACAGGCAGAGTATTGGAGCCACCAGTGCCTTCCAGATCAGAGTCTTTTTCCAATGGCAACTCCGAGTCTGTGCATCCTGCCCTGCAGAGACCAGCTGAGCCACAGGTAGCAATAGCCCAGTGGCTGTGGGCTGAGGTGACTCACAGTGGTTCACTAAGCCATGGGCCTGCTTGTAATGTTCACGGTTTGGTTTGTTACCACATTTAGAAAGAAAAGAGATTAGCAGGAGTAATTTTAAATGAACTTCCAGGTGATACACCCTCAGCTGATAGAGAAAAGAAGGATTTTTAAAAAAGATTTTTGTTATACTTACCAAGGATATCTAGATTCAGAGATTTCTTCTTTTAGTCTTTTTGTCTTTCCTAACTCAGATGCTCATAAACAAATGCCTTCTTTCCCTAATTCAACATTTTTTCAGGTTGGTTTTTAGAAAGTTAGTATCATAAGTATGTAGATGGAGAACCAGAACCTTTTCTTAATAACCTTTGATCCTTCGTTCCTGGCCAGTTGCACGAATGGGCTTTTAGAAAGCTGATGACTGCCCAATTGAAGTTACATGTAGAATTTCTTGGTTTGTCCAAATGTACATATTTTTCTGGGAAAAGGGCCTTTCATTATATTCTCAAAAAGTTCAAGATCCAAAAGAAGATACGATCTGGTAGGTTCTGTGTGCATTTCCCTGAAGTAGGTCAGGGTAAAGATCATGACCTTTCATTGGGTTGATCACAGCATTCTGCCTTATGTAGGTGGGGGAGACCCCCTGGGCTGAGTGCTGTGTGGTTAAAAGAAACCTCTGTCCTGTCCAGAGAAGAACGTTAATGGCAGGGATTATTGATGTCCAATATCTGAGAGGTCCTTAAAACACAGATTCCCATTCTTTTACTGAAAATAATGGACTTTTACACATTTGACCCCTAGAAGCCTGAGTTTACTTGTCATGGATGCTTGCATGTGTTAGGAGACAAAAGTTCATATTCTTGTGATCGGAGTAGCTGTGGTGTTCAGAAAAAAATCCAAGTGAGAATTTGAACATGCTTTATAACAAATAATCCCAGTATGGAAGAGTTGTTAAGAAGAAGAAGAAGAAGAAAGAAAAGAAAAGAAAAACCAGACCTAATAAGTGAAGGATGTGTTTGTGGGGATGAGGGGCATTAGGGGACAGGGAGGAATTTACATGGGGTTAGCAGTTTCTTGATTCACAGAAGAGCTGAGCCACAAGCGAGATGGCGAGGAAAGCAGGACAGGTTAAAAGGAGGGAGAGGGAAGGGAAGAGGGACTGGTGCAATAGGCTTGTTTGACAACACTTGTATGAAGAGTCTAGGACGAAAGGTTTTATTCTGAAAGTTAAATTTACAACAAATATAAAATTTTTATCTATTTGACCACTAACAACTTAGAAAATAGGAGTTTCTGAATTACGTAGGCTACTTTTTTATATTGATGATTACAGTCTCCCTTTTCCTCTTTTTACCTAACATTGCTTTGGGCTGAAACCTGTGCTTATGAAAACATTCTTTGAGGAGACTGTTCATGTAGGATTCTATTTTTAAATGCATTTTTTATTATAGTTGCATATAATGCTTTGTTTCACATTGCCAGCTGAAAATTTGGAACATTTTAACAGTCTGGGCTTATGCCAATAAGTGGAATTTGTCCCTCTCCTAGAAATCATGACCTGGGACTTATTCTGAATCTTGCATTGAGAAAAGTTGAACGAGTTGTCATTTGGTATTTTTAGTTCTCATTAAATGCATTGATGTAATAGATAGCTAGAATTATATAAATTGCAAAATTGCAATCTAAGATAATAAAGAAAATACAGATTATTTTGGAGATTGTTTTCCCAACTTAAAAGCAACCAGATTAACTCAGGAGACAAGTAGTTGTTTTATTTCTTCAGTGGTCAAGTAGAAGGCATACTCCAGCAGCACTCAGCAGAGGGAATGATAGTATTCCTAAATAAACCAAAATTCCTTTTCTCCTAACTACTATGAACATGTATAGAAATCTCTAAGGCATCAGTGTTTCAGGACTTGAGAGAAGAAAGAAGCAAAATCATTGGTGTATTTGAAAAGTTGGCTATTTTTAAGTTGTATTACTGTAGTCTGCCAGCACATAAGGGGTTTGTCTTTGCTCGTTAAGTGTGTTCTGTGGTTATTTGGTCTGAAATCTTACAAGGCCAGCTGATGGGAGGATGGATAGATAGGTCTGCATGTATGGCAGTGCCTGTCTTGTGATTTTTCTTTTCTCCCTCTCTCTGCCTGTCCACTCTCTGCTTTGACATGGATGTGCATGTAGCACCTTGTCCTCCCTTTTAGGGCTAGAGGTCTGTGAGGTTTTTTTGTGTTTCATTTTGTTTCCTTAACCTTTGTGTTTACTGCTATCTGTAATGTTACTCTGGATATTAAGAGTCTTCTTTATAAATGTACATTTGCTTTTTTCTATGTATTGTGTTCCCCAGCCTGCTTCTTCACTTAGAAGTATAACTGTTCCGCTGCTTCGCTTACCGAGTACTGTATTGCCCCAGTTTGCCTTCTCCTACTTCTTGTTTTGGATTTGGTATTGACCAGAGAAGCGTTTTATGCAGAACGCATTGAATGTTTTGTGTTTTGTTTTCTTGTAAGGTACAGTGGTCCCACCTGGCATCTCTCAAGAACAATGTTTCCCCTGTCTCGCGATCCCATTCCTTCAGTGACCCTTCTCCTCCCAAATTTGCACACCACCATCTTCGCTCTCAGGACCCATGTCCACCTTCCCGCAGTGAGGTGCTAAGTCAGAGTTCTGACTCTAAGTCGGAGGTACCTGACCCCACCCAAAAGGCTTGGTCTAGATCAGACAGTGACGAGGTGCCTCCAAGGGTAAGAAGCAGAAAGACAGATGTGTGCTTCTTTTTTCCATTTCGTTATTTTTTAAAAAATTATTTATTTTAATTAAGGGTATGATGATTTCACCAGAATGAAGGGGCAATGAAACTTCAAAGGAAGTTTTTACAGTGGGGAGAGTTCCATAGTTAGGGAATTATATTCAGCAAGTGACCAGTTAGCTTTTTATGGTTGTTGTTAATGCTATACTTAAGCACAAAGTAACAGAATAATATATGAGTAAGTCTATAAAGAATATACTTCTAGAACAAGAAGAATCGAAATGTATTTTAGCAGCTGTCTTACACATTTACACAAAAGCTATAAATAGTTTTGCAACTTTAATGATTATCAAAATTTTCAGAAAAGGTCTTTTAAGAAAAACTTAAACATTTCCAAAAAATGTTTTTTTTCTTTTTAAATTGAAGGATTTTTGTTTTTCAGTTTTTTATTGTTTTGTAATTAATGGTGAAATTAAACTCAAGGCACTTTTTCGTTTCGTAAATTTTTTCCTCCACTTGGAATTTGCTTCCTCTGAATATTTTCTTGCTTCCTACCAATCTTCATTTCCTACTGATCCGTTTGTAGACCATTGTTTGGTTTCTTTGAGCTTATTTTCCTGATTCTCACATTATCTCAGCAAAATGCTTTGTATGTTCCCTGCCACCAAGCTTCAGTACAAACATCATTTAAATGTTACAGAAGTGTACAAAGGCTGTTTGTCTTGGCTCCTCTGATGCCTTTAACTTAAATTTTCTCTATCATATTGTATCAGTGGAGGGCAGAGAAGGATCAGGGATCGGGGTAGTGATAGTAAGGCTCACATAATTCGGACTGTTGTAAAAATGTGTTTTGGTAGGGAATCTTTTTGCTTCTCATTTTCAATAATTTAATTGCTATATTTTTCTACCCCAAGGTTCCTGTGAGGACAACATCTCGTTCCCCTGTTCTGTCGCGTCGGGATTCCCCACTGCAAGGCAGTGGACAGCAAAATAGTCAAGCAGGTCAAAGAAACTCCACCAGGTAAGAGAAGAGGGAGGCTTAAGAATAGGTGTACTGTGCAGCATATTCCATCATGTTTGTTTTCATAGAAATGCTCATAAGCATGGTACCATCTGGGCCAAAGAGATTATCAGCTTATAAAAGAAAACTGCTAGGACATCCATTATCATGAATAATAGCAAACTGGTCTCTGGTGAAAAGACAGTCTGAATCCAGTTGTGTTTTGGCAGTTTTGAAATGAAAACTCCCTGTCTGTTACTGTAACCTGAGGGAGTTTATCCTCTAATGGATGTCCTCATACCTTTGGAGTGCTGTGGAAATCACAGACTAAAGAAAGTCCACGGTTGACTTGCAGTCTATAAAAAACTAGTGAGTTAACCAAATAATATTTTTAGGTTGTAGAGCTGTACTGCTTTTTAAAATGGCTGAACAGCTATTTAAATTTGAGTTTAACTTAAATTCAATAAAATTAAAAGTTACTTTCCTTAGCTACGCTAGTCCCATTTCGTACACGCACTAGCCACGTGCAGGTATGGATATCATGTTACACTACTCAGCTCTTGAGTATTTCCATCCTCTCCCTGATTTCCATTGGCCACTGCCATCCTAGGTGAAGGGAAGGGCACTATGCTGACTGTTTTGTGTTGATCATCACCAAACCTCTGGAGTCAGTCTTCTGCACATTGACCCTTTTAGAACTTGAAGTGCTGAGATGGATAACGGGCCAGAAGCTACAGAGAGCCTTCTTCGTCCTTAAATGATCAGGGTGGACTGTGGGATTCTCCTGTGACTAAGTCTGTGTATTAATTGTAACCTAGCAAATTTGTGCTCTGATTGCATCTGCGGCCAGGGTCCTGCAGAGCCTGTGCTCTCTGCCACATTTCTAACACAGCCCATCCAGAGGAGTATGCTGCATAAATGTTGGCTCTTGAAGGCATTTATGGACAATGAGAATGGCATAATTTTGTGTGTGATTACATAAGTAGCATTTTTAATAATAAGAAACTGAGTTTGTAGCTGTGACAGAAATAGTAATACTTTCAGACTGAACAGTAGCATTTTCTGTCCGTTGTGATTAAGATGTGGGGTCTGCTAATGGTAGCCTGTCATTTAACATTTTTGACATAAGATTATCTGAGATACTTTGTATACCCCAAACCAGTGTAACATGTGTCAACTATACTTGAATTTAAAAAAGGATATCTGAGGTAAAATCCATGAATAACCTAATTAACTTTTGGTGAATTCAATGTTAAATGCTGTTTAAATGTTAAATGTTGCCATTTTTTCTCATCATAGCTACATTTCAGAGACATCGATGGACACATCATGCATATGTTTATAATTTGATCTTGGGATAATGCATTCACTATTCTCTCTTCTTTTCTACAGCAGTATTGAGCCCAGACTGCTGTGGGAGAGAGTGGAGAAGCTGGTGCCCCGGCCTGGCAGTGGCAGCTCCTCTGGGTCCAGCAACTCTGGATCCCAGCCTGGGTCCCACCCTGGGTCTCAGAGTGGCTCTGGGGAGCGCTTCAGAGTGAGATGTAGGATGCCTTTGTATTTCCCTTCCCTCATTAACAGTATTAGGCTATGATTGTGTGTTGGAGATCCTTTTTAATCATGTAAAAAGGCCTGTGGTTTTTTTCACAGCTACATATCACAAAACAGTGTTTCAGTACAGGTTGCTAATACTACCGTAATTTTAATAATAAAGAGTTCACTTTTGAGAGCTTACACATGCCTCGCACTGTGAACACTTTATATGCATTATCTCTTTTAATCCTTAAAATAACCCCATGAGAGAGAGAGAGATGTATTGTGTCTCCATTTTAGAGATTAAAGCAACTGCAGTTTAGTGAGATTGATAACTTATTGTCCGAGATGATTAGCTAAATGTCCGAGCTGGGATTTGAACCCACTTCTTTGAATGTAGACTCCCATCCATGCTGTCATCATTACTGGTTATTTTAACTGTCAAAATATTAAGTTAGTGAAAGTTCCCTCTAGTATATTACTTGACATAACGTAACAAGGCATTATGAATACACGTTAAGCAGAGTCACACCTGTGTGCAAAGAAGGCCTGCCATGAGTGGGGCTAGCAGAAGTGGGCGGAGCTTAGGGAAGGGAGACAAAGGCTGAGTGGGCTGGGTCAGCTTTATATGATGCACTTCTCTGTGTTTATCTGTTTCTGTCTATCTTGTCTCTTGAATTTCACAGCATCATCCAAATCTGAAGGTTCCCCATCTCAGCGCCTTGAAAATGCAGTGAAAAAACCTGAAGATAAGAAGGAAGTTTTTAGACCTCTCAAACCTGCTGTAAGAATTCTACAAAATCAATTTTACTTATCCCAAGATTGAGTGAGATCTCTTAAAAATATATGGTTAGGAGGCCTGCTGTCCTTTTTATGGGGGCTCCCTAACAAATCTGAGGACTTAGAAGGAGTGCCATGTCTTCATACACACCTGTGCATACCCACACCTCACTACTATAGTCCTTTTTTTCCCCCAAAAAAATACAGAAAAAAGAAAAGCCTTTTTATTTTTACCTCTTTGCTCAGCGTTAACCTTTATGTATTCTTGATGAGTTGGGCATTTGCAAAACTGGCTTTAAAATTTTTTTTAATTTTTTTAAAAATTAATTTTGAGTGGGAGTGGCAGAGAGAGAAAATCTCAAGCAGATAGCACATTCGGTGTAGAGCCCGACATAAGGCTTAATCCCACAACCTTGGGATCATGACCTGAACTGAAATCCAAAAGTGTCGGATGCTTAAACAACTCAGCCACCTAGGTGCCCCAAAATTGTCTTGTAGAGTAAACTTTTTTCACTTTACCTTCTTCAGTTCACCTATTATTTAAATTCTGCCTTTTGATACCAGGAATGACAATTGTGACTTCCTTACACTTGGCATTTAATCCTTGTTGCATTAACTGACCATGTAACTGTGCTCATTGTGGGATTTTAAGCCTTTTGGAATTTTGATTTCTTGCTTGAATTGATTTCTGTACTTCCCCCTCACTCCCCTTTCTCCCATGCTTCCTTGCGCTGTGCATTCTTCATCACTGACGGCTTCTCCGGCTCGCTGAAACCGCTGCTGCACCGAAGGGTGAAGTGGTAAGCCCCGTCTCTGAAAGAGTCTGCAGCAGAACAACATTCCAGCTGCCTCTCCAATTTAGCTTACAATCTATCTACGTTTCCTTTCCTCCCTCAGCTTGCCTTTTTGTTCTTTTCTAGAATTCAAAAGTCCTAGACTTCTGCTTTATCTTTCTAACAAAGAATTTACTGCATACATTTATTATTAAATACAGCTTCTAAAAATAACTTCTTAAAAAGCTACAGTTGTAATCATGAAATAGTAAAACTTGAGGTCCAGTACAGTTACTTCAGACGCTTAAGCTCAAAAAGTACAAGATATTCTTACCTGTGGAGCAGGAAACTCAGATGGAACTGCTAAAAAGGAAAAGTGACTATATAGCCTGCCTTTTAAAAAAGTCATTACTTCCAAATGTAATTCCCAAGTAGAAACTTTAGACTTTTATATGAAAATGTGGAGTATAAATAGTAATTACACTTGAAAATTATATTTGGAAAATTGTGTATTAAAATATCTCAGTATGGATGGGTAAAAGGAAATGAAGCTCCTTTTGAACAGTATCTTTTAACATGAATATCCGTTGTGTCTGATGTTCATATTTGTTGGCAGTGTTGCGGGGACGTGTGGGTAAGGTGGCGCCTGGGAAGCGCGCCTCACCCCCTGTCCACAGCTGCACACACTGCCACCACTTCCTCACTTTCTGTGCCATGGACCTTCTTAGGAATGTGGCAAGTTGTTAACAGTCCATGAAGGGAGATATGAATACTATACTCCCATTTTGTAGCTTTGAAATTGTTAAAAATAACAAGTTTGCCCAATAAAAACTTTCAGTCAACCCTTTTTAACTAAAATCTTACTTTTTGGATAGTCTTCAGAGAAGACTTTGTTATATGGGCAGAACTCCAAGGATTTGCCTTCACACACTTGTTGATATAGAATTTTATGTTTAGTTTTTAAAAAACACTATTACCTTAGTGTAAGCAGATTGGTTTTTATTGTGAGATTTGAACTGTGTGCGACATCTTTAGCTTTTTATTTTTTTTTCCTTTCAAAACCTTGAAGAGCTCACCTTCCTATTAATTATACTGGTAAATATTACAAAATTGATGTTGTGGCTCTTATCAGTAGTTAAAATGAAGAATGTCTCCTAATTCGCTGTTTCCCCCCCGTTGCCCCCTGCGTGTGCCCCTTTGCCTTACTCTCTTTTTTGTCCTGTGCATTAGGATTTGACTGCACTGGCTAAAGAACTTCGAGCAGTGGAAGATGTGCGACCGCCACACAAAGTGACAGACTACTCCTCATCCAGTGAAGAGTCAGGGACAACAGATGAGGAAGATGATGACGTAGATCAAGAAGGGCCTGAGGAACCCACCTCTGGACCAGAGGACACCAGAGCAGCGTCAGTCCTTGGTGTATTTTAGAGAGCTGAGAGTGTCTCCACTGAGCTTTCTTTCCATTTGGAACCAGTGTTTTCTAAACCTATCCTGATACTATGGCCATGTAACACTTAGTTCTCCTGGATTCAGCAGCAGACAGCCTTCATGGTTTTCCGCCTTCTCCTTGTGTGCGTGTCTGTGTCAGTGCCTCTCCCCAGGACACCAGCATGTATTTTATTTTATGTTATGTTATGTTACGTTACGTTACGTTATTTCAGGATACGACAAAAGAGGAGTTTCATTTTGGTTGAACCACATTAACCATAAGAATTTATCCTAAATTATTTGCTCAAAAGCACGATACTGGCTGAAAGGGAAAAGCTAAGCATTTATTTTCCTTGAGAAAACTATATCTGTGTAGCCTGATCTCATCTTCTGCCTTTGGGAAGGTGAAAAATCTTAAACAGGATGTTCTCGACTCATGGGATTATTATGGCCCTTCACTTCTGAATTTTGTTCCGATAGGTCATCTCTGAATTTGAGCAATGGTGAAACAGAATCTGTGAAAACCATGATTGTCCATGATGATGTAGAAAGTGAACCAGCCATGACCCCATCCAAGGAGGGCACTCTAATCGTTCGCCAGGTACCTGTGTCTTCTCTTTGTTGTCAGAGGCAGAGCTTCTCCTGTAGTCATTAACCCACTTGCTCATTCACTCACTCATGCTGTTTCTACATCATCATCTGTTTTCATGTTAACAAGACCCAGAGGGTAGAGTGTCGGGGGCTAGGGAGGCAGGTGTGTACTGCATGCCAAGAAGGTAGCTAGCGGTTTTCCACCCCACATTGCTGCTCCTCTGCATGTTTGCGGCAGCCCTCATTCAAGCACCACGCCGATTCTCACAGTGTGTGTCTGAGCAGTAGCAGGGCCACGGGGAGTCCTGCAGCCAGCATGCAGGATGAGGAGGCAGACCCGGTCTATAGCAGGGCGGCTGCAGAGGTTCTGCAGAGAGCTCCCAGCTCTGGGCAGCCGCAGTGCTCGGCAGGAGCAGCCCTTGGGCAGGAGCAGTTGAAGAGCAGATGAGCCTCATCAGTCACAGGAGGGCCTCGTGGAGCAGAAGGGCTGGGAGGTCTCTCTTGTGCGTTCCAAAACGTTAGTTTCCTCACTTGTTGAATATTAAATGTGTACCACCCTGCTGTGCTCAGTTCGGGTTACTCAGTTTTACAACCGTCTGTTCATTTCTTAGCTTAGAAGACAGAGAAGTGATGCGCTTCCCTGACATAGAACAGGCGCCTTTCTAGTGTTTTGGACTTTTCCTGAGTGTGTTTCAAGCAATGGCAATGCATTCGGATGGAAAGTGGGGAGAACGCGGAAAAGACCAGGATTCAAAGAAGTGACAGGGTACTCTCTAGAGCTTTAGACAGAAAGATTTTTAAGGAAAAAAAAAAAAAAAAGGCTAGTGGCTTTGGTAACAACAGCTAGTGTGGCAGATAAACCAATTAAGCAGTCACCGTGCAAGTCCTGTGGCCACCAGATAAGGTACTTTGAGTTCTGTGGGCTCAAGGTAGGCATTCGGTGAGGAAGTGTGAACAATTCCGGCCAGTTTCCTGCGGTCTTTCTTTGATAATTTAACAGAGTTTTGAAAAGTCACACAGCACCGTTAAGTCAGTTATCAGTAGGGTCATAGGGAATTTCAGCAGCGCTTGAGCCAGACGAGTGTGCCTGTTTTTTCTACAGAGTACAGTTGACCAAAAGCGCGCCAGCCATCATGAGAGCAATGGCTTTGCCGGTCGCATTCACCTCTTGCCAGATCTCTTACAGCAAAGCCATTCCTCCTCCACTTCCTCCACCTCTTCCTCCCCATCCTCCAGCCAGCCGACACCCACCATGTCCCCACAGACACCCCAGGACAAGCTCACTACTAATGAGGTATGTCTCGCACCACAGCTGGCTGCTTTCATAGGGTTTGACCAGCACTGCCTAGTAGCTAGTTTGCAGAGGAGACCTTTCCCACACCCCTCACCCCTCCCTTCCCCCTGCTTTCTTCTGTCACCTACCCTTCTCCCCAACCCCAAGTAACATGTTTCAGATCTGCATACAAATCCCTTAACCCTAGATCAATGTCCCTTCAACTTGCCAGTTCACTGTTTACTTTTCTCTAGATGAGTGTAGTTGCATGGCTTTCTTTATTGAGTTTACTTTTTTAAAAGTCTAAATAAAATGATTTGCTGTGTTCTCAGATTCATATTTGGCATGAAATTCTTGTAGTCATTTGTGGAATCTGCCTTTTTCATTCGTTTTATCTGTTAAGTAAAATATAGAAAATTTGATTAAGCAGACTTGGCCTTAATCTGGACAAACTTGTTATCCTATACAGGAGTCTCCTTCAAACAGGGCTGGGTTGCTTTTTGTTTTTGTTGGGGGGGAGATTGTTGGTTGGTTACTCATTTGTATTCACCAGCCCTGTTAAAAGGGCATCTTTCCTTGAAATTCAACTTCTCACAGAGTTCAAGATACAGCCAAATGATTCTTAGGGAAATGTAGAAAACTAGAATGTTAAGAAGAACAAAGGTCTGAGCATGCTTTAATTTAAATATTTGAATAGGAAATTTGGTGTGCTCGTTTGAAGGCTTGGCTGTGGTGCTCATCCTGGGTGCTAGTTGGGTGATGCTTTGCTCTTTGGAACAAGATTATGTCCCAAGTGCAGTGACATAGTCCACTTTGAGCACCCTGTACTAAATTAAACAAGTGGTTTGCTTTCTTGAGATTTGGTTTAAATGCATTTGTCTAATGGTCGAAGGGAGGTTGAGAGTGGCACGTAGTAGTAGCTTCAGCCAATCTTGTTAATGTAAACATTTAACTGCCAACCTGTCTCTACCTGCTCCTGTTTGGTTCCCTTGTTAGAAAGAATCAGAATAATCCTCTCCCTCCGAGAAGCAGGGCCAAGTCAACTGCTTCCAAGGTGGGCTTGCATCAGATTGGCCATCGGATGGATTGGCCGTTGATCACAGGATGGGGTGGAAAGCTTGCCATCAGGCAGCTGTGTCAATGGGAGGAGAGACCCTGGAAGCCGAGGCTGGGTTGGGCTCTAGGACATGGTGACTCTCAGCTGCCTGTGGAGGGCGGAAGGTTTCAGGACGAAAGCACTTGATCAGAAGTGTTCTTTTTTCTCTAGCGATATATCCCACCTACACTCACATTTCTCCTTATATTTATATTTAAACTTTGCTCCATTTTGCTCTGATGTCCAGTATTTACTATAACCCTTAACTCACTAAACTGGCAAGTTTATTTTTCTGTTTGTTTTGTTTTTAATTGTCATTACATTTCCACTTAACAATTTGTTTCACTTTCTTTGTGTTTTGTTATTTTTTTTGTCTTAAGTTACACTATTAACCAAAACACTAGTGTTCCTAAAAGAGCAAAAGAATGTGCCGTATCTTGTTGCTTGCACTTTTCACTAATGAGCCCCTGTTCGATACGGGTTTACTGATGACGCACCTAAAACGGGGGTAGCCAAAGCTTCTGTAACTTTCTGGCACGAGGCTCACTTTAAAATGAATAATACAAAGTAAAGATTTGCCAATATTCCAACATAGATTAATTGGCCTTTTTTTTGGGCAGAAGAATAAAGTCAGAAATTAATGAATTGAGATAGACCTTTCAAACCTCTCCTTCAGGAGTTTTTATTATAATTATTTATTTAAAAACTTGGAGCATGAAGTACAGATTTTGTCGGTAGCTCACAGCGTTGCTGTCTTAGATGAAGAATACTGCTGAAGAGACATGTAGCTCTTGGTGGTGCCAGGTTGTAATAGCCTGTTGTTGGGGTGTGTTGTGCCCATGCAGAGGCACCCCTGTGAGGATTTGGGGGGAGCGAAGCAGGAGTGATAGGCCTTCCTACTGGGAAATTGTGCAGTATAGAAGTGGGTTGAAATGTATGTTCATCTTTTTAATGTCATTTGTATTAATAAACTTGAAATTTACATTGCAGACTCAGTCCGCTAGTAGCACACTCCAGAAACACAAATCTTCCTCCTCCTTTACACCTTTTATAGACCCCAGATTACTACAGATTTCTCCATCTAGTGGGACAACAGTGACTTCTGTGGGTAAGTAAAGGAGCAGCAGGACAGCAGCTGACAGAATGTGGTCACTGTGTGCTGGTCTCTCTGACGGCTTGGGCATGGCATGGTGGTGGTTTGCAGGTTCAGGCCTCGGGTACACAGACACCCATGCCGCTTGCACTGCCGTGTTTGCAGTGAGCTGCACAGTCCGTTTCCTTTTCCCATAGATCTTTCTTACAAATTTCTTTTCCTTGACAGAGTCGGTTATAACATGTGAATATTCATTGAGGTGTAGCAGGGGAGGGAGGCAAGCGCATTATGAGTACAGAAAATAATATCAAATGTACTGTGTTCTAGTGGGATTTTCCTGTGATGGAATGAGACCAGAAGCCATAAGGCAAGATCCTACCCGGAAGGGCTCAGTGGTCAATGTGAATCCCACCAATACTAGGCCACAGAGTGACACCCCAGAGATTCGTAAATATAAGAAGAGATTTAATTCCGAGATTCTGTGTGCTGCCTTATGGGGTAGGTATCATACCGCTACTATGGCTCTTTTTTTTTAATTTTTAATTTGTTTTTATTATTTTTTTAATTTTACAGATAGTTTGTTGTCAAGTTAGTTTCCATATAACACCTAGTGCTCATCCCCACAAGTGCCCTCCACCATGCCTATCACCCCCCCACACCCATCAGTCCTCAGTTTGTTCTCAGCATCAAGAGTCTCTCATGGTTTGCCTCTCTCCCTCTCCCCCTCCATTTCCCCCCTTTTCTCCCCCACAGTCCTCTGTTAAGTTCCTCCTAATCCTCCTATACGTGCAAACATATGGTATTTGTCCTTCTCTGCCTGACTTATTTCGCTCAGCATAACACCCTCAAGGTCCATCCATGTAGCTACCATGGCCAGATTTCATTCTTTCTCATTGCCATGTAGTATTCCATCATATAGATAAACCACATCTTCTTGATCCATTCTTCTGTTGATGGACACTTAAGCTCTTTCCATGTTTTGGCTGTTTTTGAGAGAGCTGCTATGAACATTGGGGTACATGTGCTCCTATGCATCAACACTCCTGTATCCCTTGGGTCAATTCCTAGCAGTGCTGTTGCTGGGTCATAGGGGGGTTCTATTGTTAATTTTTTAAGGAATTTCCACACTGTTTTCCAGAGGGACTGCACCAGTTTACATTCAGTTTGGGGGAGTTTTTAAAGGATTGTTGACAGTTAAGTTGGAAAACTGTTTTTTTTTAATGTTTATTAATTTATTTTGAGAGAGAGGGGGTTGGTGGGGGGAGACAGAGATAATCCCTGGCAGGCTTCCTGCTCTGCCTGGAGCCCAATGGCGGGGCTCGATCTCAAAACCATGAGATCGCAACCTGAGTTAATACCAAGAGTCAAACGCTCAATTGTCTGAGCCACCCAGGCGCCCCTGGTGAGAAGACTTCTGTGATGCCCACCCTTGTAGCCTTCTCCTGTAGAATCATGCAGGCACGTGTGTTTTCACGAACTTGTTTCAGTCGATGGCTAATCTCTTATTTCTTCATGTAAAGAAAAAAGTAGAAAGATGAGAAAGACATTCGATGTGGTCCTTATTAATAGGGAGAATGAAGAAATTTGTTGGATTACAGTTTAATGTTTTTCCTTGCTCTTCAACCCTTGGGGCTAACATGGAAATGAAGCTTTTAAAAGCAGTTTTCCTCACTGGCTGGAGTCTGCAGAAGGGGCTGTTGTGCTGACTTTCCCTGCTGCATCTCTCCAGTGTTGGTATAACATGTTCACAGCCTAAGATGCCGCGAGAGGCTGAGCCTGCCACACACAGGACTGTGCCCTCTTGCATTCTGAAGCCGGCCTATCAACACCTTTCTCGCCCACAGATAGACTCTGCTCTTGGCCTTAACTTGTCTGCTAGTCCTAGGCTCTGTTCACGTTCTCCTCCTGCCTGAACCCCAAAGTCTGGTTTTAGCAGGGACCCTGTTTCTAATCAGAATAGTTTCTTCTTCCCCTGACATTACACGTTTAAGTGGACAGAAGACATGTGATCCACTTTGGTTTGAGTGCACAGCATGTCTGTCCGTTGACTCCTCTCCTGCCCCTTTTACCAGCTCCTGCTTGGCCTTCTCCCAAGGGGTTTGGGAGAGGCCTTTCCCCTTTGCAGACACACCTGCTTTCTCTTTCACTCTTTGAGTTCTGGGTTTCTGTCCTTGTCACCACTGAGTATCTTAAGTCCCCTATATCAGAACACCTTTCCTGTATTAACCTTGTAGGTAACGGTAACAGTTGCCAGTTGGAGGGTGATTACAAGGATCATGTGAAAGCAGCTGGCACAGCATTGTCACTGCATGGCACTGTTAGTGTTGCTCCATGAATGCCAGTTGTGATCACATCACAGAGTTGAGCTTCATCATGTCTGTTCTTTTTAAAGGCCTTTCATGGGGGTGTGTATATCCTCAAAATTATACTTAATGTAGTGTCAAGTAAGTTAATTCTTTTGAAATTGCTGAAGTAACTTTTACCTAGAATATTTGCACTTGGTACCAGTCTTGCACTGATTTTACACTAATGTCCCCAAAGTGCTGGACCCTTTCTGTGCTGTTAACTGATTTAATGAAAGTCCTCCTTCTTGTTATCTTCTTTAATACCTCAGAGAGTAAGAGAGGATCTCGAGCTTGTGTTTTTAGAAATGTGGTGGAACTTTCTGTTTTATCAGTATGTGGAAAGTAGAGATAGGCAAGATGACTTGAAGTTGAAATGCATTTGTATAAATTCATGTATTTGAGTTGCTCCTTGGCTCAGGACACATCAGTGGTGGGTTTCCTTAACCTGCCTGTGATAGCTAAGCTAAAAAATAAGTTAAAAAAGAAGGCTTTTAAAGACTTAGACACAGAAAAGTTAAGACATGTACTATGAGAGAGAGAGCCCGACAAGGGGAGAAAATTCAGAGGACACTAGCATATTATTTTGAAATGGTAACACTGATGCATTGAAGGTCTGCTGACCAGTGTTAGATAGGTTAGACCGGCTTTTTGTGTGTCTTAGAAAATGCTAGCCTCGGGGCGCCTGGGTGTTTCAGTCACGTAAGCACCCTACTCTTGGTTTGGCTTAGGTCATGATCTCATGGTTTGTGGGATGAAGTTCCATGTCGAGCTCTGCACTGACACCACAGACCCTGCATGGGATTCTCTCCTTCTCCCTCTGCCCCTCTCTTGCTCACTCTCTCTCGTAACAAATAAACTTAAAAACAAAAATTAAAAAAAGAAAATGCTAGCTTCAAACATTCTTTTTTAATCATTTCATATAATTGACTTTAGCTTTGCAAGATGCTGCTACCTATTTATTATATTTTTGTGATAAGACAGTTTTCCCATTCACAGCCAGGATTATTTTCACACATATTTTGAACATGATTGTTCCCACTCTGGTTGTTTTTTTCTTTTTTTCTTTTTTCTTTCTTTTTCTTTTTAATTTTTAAAAGTAATATCTACACCTAATGTGAGGCTCAAAACCTACAACCCCTGGATCAAGAGTCACATGTCTACAGACTGAGCCCACCGGGGGCCCCTGTTCCCACTCTTTTTTTTTTTTTAAACATTTATTTATTTTTGAGAGACAGAGAGAGACAGATCATGAGCAGGGGAGGGGCAGAGAGAGAGGGACACACAGAATCAGAAGCAGGCTCCAGGCTCTGAGCTGTCAGCACAGAGCCCAATGCGGGCGGGGCTCAAACCCACAAACTGTGAGATCACGACCTGAGCCAAAGTTGGAAGTTCAACCAACTGAGCCACCCAGGCGCCCCTGTCCCCACTCTTAACAGTAAACTGTCTGCAGTTTACTACAGAGTGTTGCCTATAATATCATCAAAGGATTTAAAGGAAACTTTAAGTCACACGTTATAGAGCTAATAACCATTCTTCCCATCAACTTAAACCAGATTCCTATGAATACAGTCTCAGTTCCCAGTATAGCTTGCCTTTGAGCAATTAGTGTTTAAAGTTTAATTATATCTAACAGTTGAAAGATTTAAAAAGTATATTATAAAAGGTTATTGGAGCATGCAACTTAATTTTTTTCATGGACCCATAATTTCCAAGGTGGTTATTTTCCAGTGACTATCAGTATTCCTCTGAGTACTAACATTCAGTACTTTACAGAATTACATACTTCTTGGAAATACATAATGGAGAATTATCAGGTAGAGTATAAGTGTCAAAATATATGCATTTTTTGTGTTTATGAAAAGACTTCAGTTTTTTTTTCCTTTGTTATATCTTACTGTAAAATCTTGATTGATGTTTGGATGCTATTTGTTTTTGGAAACCACAAATAATAGATTTCAGAAGCTCATATTTTGGGTACTTATTACCAGATTTTTTATATGGATCTTTCAGCTACTTGATATTAAAGATTGGGAAAATAATGAAATATTACATAAAATGGAATCTTTGGAATGAACTCTATCTGGAAACAGCTCTATCAGTTAATGTTTTGTTTTTCTGCTGCAAATAACTGTGAAGCCAGTTAGAATTACCTCATCTAGGTATGTGGAGGGAAAACACTAAGAATGATGTCCATATAGAGTACTACATTGATAGGGAGATAGTCACCACAAAATAGTGAACCTCAAAAGTAAAATCATATGAAAATGAATGGAGCATTACATAAGCATTAATTTTTCTTGCAGTGATGATAAATGTGTTTTTAAATTGGATAGCATTTTTTTTCCTTAGCATTAAGTAATTCTCTGGTGTGTATCATCTTTCTATTAAAAGACTTTTTCATGGAAAAACGTGATGCCTTCTAAACCTTATAAAGTGTGAGGCTGTGAACCCTAATTCAAAGCCACAATGTTACCTGATGAATAAAATAGTAGTATCAGCCATAGCTGCCCTGGCTGTTATGGTAGCCACTAGTTTCACGTGGCTATTTAAATTTAAGTGAATTAAAATGGAAATTTCAGCTCCTCAGTTGCGCCAGCCATGTTTCAAGTGCTCAGCACCCACATGTGGCTGTTGGCTAACACACTGGACATCAAGATAAAAAGTTCTGTTGGACAAGGCTGTTCTGGATGGCGCATTCTAAAAGTCTTAATTAAAAGTGATAGACAAAGCCATATGCATTCATAAGCCTTTTCCTTCTGCTCTTCAAATGACCATACCTTGAGAGTTTTGTTTACTTTTAATGGTTACTCTTAATGAGTAGTGAATACTCAGGTTTTTCTTTCCTCAAAGTTTCTGAAGCTCATTAATACTATGTCAGGTTCTAACAGGCTCTCGTTAACGGCAATAGCAGATGGAAAGTACCTGTGATTTGGTGGAGGCAGATGTGGGGCAGCACATACAGCAATGCTCTTGTGAACCATACCACTGTTTGTGCAAGGGCAAGATGAAAACCTGCATCATATGCCTAATAGGTTTTTAATGGAGGCTTTTCTCAGGTCACACTGTTATTGGCAACTGTAGATGTCTGGATTCATGAGGACCTTTTTACACATTTTACATTTTTTGAGGACTCAAGGGATAGTGTTGTATTAGTTTAGAGCCTACAGTGTTTCAGCACATTTGTAACTGTGGTCCTGGGGAGCCTTACGCTCTTGTTAGTTGAAGTTCTTATTTGCATTTGAATGGCAGTGTGATAGTAACTACATATGTAAATTCCAGGTTCCCAGCTTTCCCCCTAGACCCCAAAAGGTGTGTCCAGTTTTGTCACAAGGATTGCTTGGGCACAGATACTGTCCTCCAAGTCTTGGGTTTCACCTGCCCAATATGGACCAGGCACAGAGCTGAGAGAGAGCTGGGAGGGTGTGGAGGGTGTTTCCTTGTTGCCTTCACAGTTGTTTATTTAAAGTTTTCTGGAAATACGGGTGTGTGTGTGTGTGTGTGTGTGTGCGCGCGCGCGCGCGCACGCGTGTTCCTGTGTAATAAAACATGAATTGTATGGTTCAGGAAATACATGGTATTCTTCCCTATCATTCCATCTACCAGAAAATACTGATTGAGCAGTTTTTTAAAAGCACAGATACTTTATTCCTTATCTCGGTGAGTTTATTACCCAGTTTAGGGAATCAGTGCAAACATGTATGTGCTCAATTCCGTAGGAATATAAGGTGACCTTTGCTACAAGTCACAAAGTTGGTTTGGACAAGGAAGGTTATAGACCAAGGAAACCAGGCATTTAAGGATATAAGTGAGTGATAAGAAGTAAGTTGGCTCAAGGTACAGAGAGTTTGGAATGGCCAAGTTGAGGCTTTTGTTACTGCCCTGTCGAGTGTGTAATTTTGCAGATGCAGTAGGACCTAATGAGTATTGTTAGAAGATGAGAATTGTTTGGGTTGCTGCCATGAGAAAGTTGAGGGAGGAGGTGTAACAACCTGAGTTAAAGTCGCTATCCATCATTTACAAGGAGGTCAAAGCCTGAAGTAAGGTGAGAGCAGAGGAAAGGAAAAGGCAGGTTTTCTCTGGTTCTGGTGGCCAATTTGGTTAACTGTGTGGAACAGGTGGTGGTGCTAAAATGGCAAAAATTGAGAAGTTGGTTTCAGTAGAAATTTATACTAGGTGGAGTATAGAATTAGGAGTTGATGGTTCTGAGGTGCTCCTTTAGCAGACATCTTTCATGTTTAAGAAGCAGGGAAGGTTTAAAGATAGGGGGGAGGAGCAGACAGAGAAAACCAGGAAGGAGCTAGAGCTGAATGGAGCTGGAGAGGGGGAAGATTGTGGCAGCAAATAGTCAGAGAAGCCAGGACTGGTCCCGTGGAGAGGTCACAGTATTTTAATATTCCTAAGAAATATTGTTGCTTTCTTGATGATGATGGAGAATGGTCTTTAAGAAAACATTAAGGTGAGTGATGGATTAATCATAAACTGCTAAGGATTTGAAGTGGCTGTATAGCTCATGAGAGAAGTTTGCCAATCGAAATAAAGACAGATAAATGAAGTATCAAGGGATCATGATAATAGACATCTCTCTCATATCCTTTTTTAGACTTAAATATTTCACCTTCACTCCTCTGTGGTTATTTGTTGCCATTTGGTTATTTTAAATTGACTATTCCAAGCATTTCTTTTTGTGGGTGAGTTTAAAACGTACTCTTTTCCAGATAGCTGCTGTTATCCTTTCCCTACAACCAGACTGTTTGCCAAGCACAGCATAAAATCCAGGTCTTTCTGTGTTCTTAAAACAGGAGTGAATTTGTTAGTGGGTACAGAGAGTGGCCTGATGCTGCTGGACAGAAGTGGCCAAGGGAAGGTATATCCTCTGATCAACCGAAGACGATTTCAGCAAATGGATGTCCTTGAAGGCTTGAATGTCTTGGTGACAATTTCTGGTAAGTGTTCATTTACTAAAGCTAAACTTCCATTAGCTCATGTTTTGAAGGAATGACTGAGGTACAACCATAGCATGGCCTCACAGTAAGGTGATGTGACCCCTGTGTGCACGCTGAACCTGTGGGTCCTCTGAAGGGCAGTCTTGAGAAGCACAGGAGCCTGCGCTCTCTAGCTGACCTCTGACCCACGACCGCTGTCTGCCCTGTTGCTTGTGGTTTAATGTGGCGTCCCTGGCTTGGAGGTTTGTGTCTGCCCACCCACAGGACTCTTGCGTGTGGAAGGGACTGTGCTCTGCTGTCATGGCAAAGTACCATAATACAGGTTTTCTTTACATCCGTTAACACTTACTGTAAGCTGCTTCTTAGAAAGTAATTTTTTAGTATAAATTATGCAATATATGTTCATTGTGGGAAAAAACTACTGTAGAAGAACAAGTAGGAGAAATAAAATGTAAAATCATCCCGGGACATTATTGACTTCAGTTTTTAACTTCTAATCTTTTAAGCATACACACACTCAAAATATACTCATAAAGGGGAGAATCTGCATTTAAATGGTTATACAACATTTCAAACATACAGAGAATAATAATGAGAGAATGATTACGTAACAATGGCCTCATGTACTGATTAGTTTTAACAGGTGAGTACACTGTACCTGCAGTTAGCCGCCCCTTCCCATTTCAGCTGCCCCTGGTAATCACCGTCCTGCAATTAGGGTATGCCCTGTTCATTCTGGGTTGTCTGAATCAGGTACTTGCCCTTTCTGTGTCATTAAACATTTCTTTATAAGCATTTATATTTTATGGGGCTATAGACTGTTTCTAGTGTAGATAATCTAAAATGTATTTACTTCCATTGTAAATCCTTTAGTTTATCGCTGTTTCCCCCTCACGTCAACATTTTTCACACACTTGTAGGTTACTTAACCATTGTGCGTACATGCCCATGATGCATAGATAATGGTTTCCTAATAATTTGTATGATTGCTGTAGTTAAGAGTATGCAAAATTGGAACACTTTAGGTCTTATAATAACCCACAGCAGTTTTGATTTAATCATCTGCTAGCTTCAGCTTGTTATCGTTGTTTATATGTAACATCTCTTGCAGTTATTTTAGTTTTCAAATTGGCTTTTGGTTATAAGTAAAACATGTTTGTTGAAATGCAAAAATTTCGCCATTCATCTCAGACTTAAATGAGAAAACAGCCGTTTACAACTTGGGTGTTAATGTGGAGTAGGTTTTAAAATTGAAGGGGAAATAAATCTGTCGCTAAAAATGGCTTGGACTTCATTTTGTGATTCACTGAACAAGATTTATGGGAATCACTAATCAGCTGACACCAGTAATCTTTTTTGGGTATACTTTTCTGTATTCTCTCCCTCTTTTGTAGCTTTTAATGGTCTTTTACAATCATGAAAATAGTATATGTTAATTGTAGGAAGCTTCAAAAGTGAGAAACAACTTAGGAAGGATAAAATAAAATCTCGATCTCAGAGCTCACCCTTGTTGACTTTTTTTTATATTTTCTTCTCCTCATTTCTAGAAGTCTATATTACTATATGGAAATGTAACACTATATACATAAAACCGCATAGTTTTTGTTTCGTTTAACGTATTTTATTGAATATTTCCTCACATTCAAAAAGTCTTCAAAACTTAAAAAGATTGTGTCAAAGTATAAGACATAATACAGAAAGTACACAGTTTAAAAAGTATACAATCAAGTCAAATCAACTGCCTAAGCCACCCAGGCACCCCATAGTTCATTATACTTATGTCTGTCTAGTTCTGGGATCTCTGTTTTGTTCATTGATCTGTTTTCTCTTTTGTTAATACCACATTGTCTTGATTACTATAGCTTTATAGTAACTCTTAAAGTCAGTGTCAGTCCTCCAAAGTTGTTCTTTCTCAATATTGTGTTGGCTGTTTTGGCTCTTTTGCCTTCCCATATAAACTTTAGAGTCCGTTTATGAATATGTTCAAATAATTTGATAGGATTTTGATTGGGATTACATTTATTGTATATAGATGGAGTTCAGTAGAACTAACATCTTACCAATACCAAGTTTTACCTGTGACCATTGAATATATCTCCATCTGTTTCTATCTCCTTTAATTTCTTTCTTCAGAGTTTTATTACAGTTTTCCTCATTGGATGTTGTGTAAGACTTTTTTGTTAGATTTATAACTAAGTATATCTTTTTTTCATTTTTAGTACTTCTGCAGATGGTGCTATATTTGTAATTTCGAATTTCCAATTGCTTGTTGCAAGTATATAGGAAAACAATTCACTTTGATATATGAACCTTGTAGCTTGCAACCTTATATAATTACTTATTAATTGCAGGATTTCTTTTTTACCAGCTCTGTCATTTTCTATGTAAATAGTTCTGTATTTCTTCCTTCCCAGTTTGTATACCTTTTATTTCCTTCGTCTTATTTCACTAGCTAGGACATGTAGTATGGTGTTTAATAGGAGTGGTAAGTGAGGACACCTTTCCCTTGTTCCTGATCTGAAGAGGAAAGTATCTAGTTTCTCACCATTATTTATGGTATTAGCTGTAAGTTTTTTGTAGATGTTACTTGTCAAATTGAAGCAATTCCCTTCTATTCATATTTGCTGTGAATTTTTTTTTGATGTTTTATTTATTTCTGAGAGAGAGAGAGAGACAGTGTGAGCAGGGGAGGGTCAGAGAGAGAGGGAGACACAGAATCTGGAACAGGCTTCAGACTCTGAGCTAGCTGTCAGCACAGAGCCCGACCGGGACTCGAGCCCACGAACCGTGAGATCATGAACTTAGCCGAAGTGGACCGCCTAACCGACTGAGCCACCCAGGCACCCCTGTAAATTTTTGATCATGAAATGGATGTTGGGTTTTGTCAAATGTTTTTTCTGCATCTATTGATAGGATCATATGATTTTTCTTCTTAAGTGTGTCAGTGTGTCTCGTTTCTTTTGTTCAGCAACATTTGTTGTTGCTTATAGAGACGTATTGTTTCACTTCATTTCTGTGTATGACTATACTACAGTTTATTTATTTGTTCTGTTGGTAAACATTTGTGTTTCCTGTTTTCAGCTCTTAGGAGCAATGCTGCTGTGAACATTCTTGTTCATGTATTTGGGTGGTCCTACACACACACATATATATTAAGAGAGAAGTTACTGGATTGTAAGTAGGATATACATATATCCTACTTTGAAAGATAATGTCAAGCTTTTCAAAATGGTTCTAACAGTTTATAGCATTGGTTTCCAAGTTTCTAGATACTCCTCATCTTCCGTACTTTCAATACTATTGTTCTTTTTAATTCTAGACACTCTGATAGATGTATGAAATTGTATCTCATTATGGTTTTAATATGCATTCACTAACTGACTTTTGAGAGCCAGTACTTTTTTATGTATCTGTGAGCTAACTTCTTTTGTCTATTATAGTTGAGTGCCCACTTTTTCAATTGGGTTATCTCTCTTTTAAGTGATTTAGAAGAGATAGGTTGTGAGTCTTCTGTCAGCTCTGTAAGTTGCACACATGTTCAGTTTATGGCTTACTTTTTGCTGGATTTTGAGTCCCTGCCTTGGTTGATCTATTTAATCTTTCCTGCTGTCTAATGAGAAATAATAGCTACTCCAGAGAGGTTTGAGAATCAGATCACATAATACATGTGAAAGCATCTTCTAAGTTCTATTGGTTGTGTTGCTGTGCAGGTATTTGTATTACTTTGTGGTTTATGGATACTGAGTATATACATAAGTGTGAGTTCTTTTTTCTTTTAAAACCTTCCTTTCTCATCAGGCCTATACTTGATGATGATTCCATAGGAGTTTCAAAATCCATCTGAATAACTTCAATTGAGGTTCTAGTAAAACTCACATAGAATGGTTCCCTTAGGATGATATTTATTGCTCTTTTGGTTACTATTGTTATTAATAGAGGATGCCTACTTTGAATATGCATGTAAAATACTTGTATTTGTTTTGCTAGGCAAAAAGGATAAGTTACGTGTCTACTATTTGTCTTGGTTAAGAAATAAAATACTTCACAATGATCCAGAAGTTGAGAAGAAGCAGGGATGGACAACCGTGGGGGATTTGGAAGGATGTGTACACTATAAAGTTGGTAAGTTCCAGGAGGGTCGTGAGGGTTTTGTTCTGCAGGGTTTAATGAGTTGTTTCTGATACACCTAGCTGTTTTCTGTGATTATGTTTCTAAGGCATCTTCTAATCCCGAAGTGTCATCTTGATTCACAGTGCACCTTTTAACATAACACCATTCATTCCTGCCACTCATTCTGTCTTCCATCCATCTCATCCTCACATTCATCTTGTGAGCGAGGCTTTTTACCCTTCCTCTTTGACAGTACACATTCTTCTCTGTAAGATGTGGTCACAATAACCTCTCTGAGGAAACCTTGCCAAAGGAAAGCCAGACAGTTTGGATTCTTGCTTTGTGCTCCAGGCCTAGTCTCCATTGAGAGGACTTTGGGTCCTTGGCAGTCACTGACAGAACATGTGAGAGTTTGACCAAAGAGCTATGGCTTGTTGTTTTGAATGAAGCACACTGTGCGGAGCTACTGTGCTCTTAACTACTCAACAAGTCTAGCTGGCCAGCCAATGTTTCATAGCAACCGTCTTGGTTTTTTTATTGCTGGCATGCATGTTATGGTTCTTATGAAATAAGAGCTCACAAGACAAAACCAAAACAAAATTTTTTATGTATGAAAAAAATTAAACAACATTATGTACTAATGTTATGAAGTAAAGGGGAAATAATGAAGCTTAGCCAAATTAAGCTTTTATGGGAGAGATGATATATTCTAATAGAATTTGAAATGGGAATTTGAGAAGATCAGCAAATAGTCTCTATTATACTTAGAACTGATTAACATTAGGGTCCTATTGTATATTGATGTCTGCTAGTATGTTTTATTTTTTTCTGTTTATGAAAGTATATGCTATAGTCATTTCCTTCTAGGGATATTACAGTCCTTGACATTCTCTTCTTATTTATATAATCTGTCCACAACTCTTAGCTCACTGATTAATAATGATTGCAGAAGCCGCCCCAATTTGGTATGGGGTTCTGAGTGTTACTGGAAAATAGTATTGTCTCCTTGATTAAATTTTGGGATTAGGATTTTCTGTGCTGTGTTTCTGTGAAATAATTGTTGAGGTATAACTAAAATCATCTAAGGTTAAATTTAATGAAATGATTCAGAATGGATAAAATGTGCAAGAATAGATTATCCTACCAGGGGAACTAAGCAAATGTGTTACACTGTGCTGGGCTTTTCATTGGAACAAAACAGGGATCATCAGGTCTGTCATTCTTACATAATGAATCACAAGCATTTTCTGGGGAAAGGGAGTACAATACCATTCATTCATTATTCTTTATACTTTTAGGAAATTATATTCAGTTTATCAAGACCTGTGCCGTACAATATGATTGCCATCAAGAAGAGGGGCTATTTAAATTTATATTTAAATTAATTAACATGAAATAAACTATAAAATGCGGTTCCTCAGTGGCACTAGTACATTCCAAGTGCCCAATAGCCACATATAACTTGTGGCTATTATAATGACAGTACAGATCTAAAACCTTTTCATCATTGCAGAAAATTCTGTTAAAGAGCACTGGTTTGGGACAACCTGTTATAATCCTTTGTGTCTTAATATTAATGTCAATGATTGATTGGAATAGTGACATTATATGGAAATTAACAAGGAGAGTTATCAAGCTAACAAGCCATCTCTCATGTACAAAGGAAGAATGAGGTAGTATTGTGATATTAGATAGTTTATAAAGAAACTGGTAGAACTGTGCCAGATCACTGAGTCCTGTGTGGTCATAGGCCCTCAGAGCACCTGTTTTTAAGCAGAGTTGCCTGGCTGCAAGAGAACTGAAATAGCTATGTAAAGAAGGCATTTTCAACTGGGGGGGAAAATATAATAATTTATTTATATATTATATATATTTATTATATTTATTTATATATATTTTATTTATTATATATATATAAAAAAAAAAAAAATATATATATATATAATATATATTTATATATATATATAGCTGAAGAGAAACTTTACTACTGTTCTTTTTGTATGCAACTTTAGGTAGAATTCAGGCAGTCACTACCACTATAGATCAGGAAGTGGTTTGAAGTGATACTTAGCTGATTAATCACATCATTATCCTTTTGAAGCAGTACTGAGCCCTTAAGACTTTAGGGTGGCATGCCTAGCATTGTCCTTGATTAGTAAATACTTGCAGTCTAAGAAGATTAGGAACATTAGTGAAAATATTCCTTAATAGTAACCAGAGTATTGGAGTTGAGTCCCATACGTCAGTCAAGAAAGATGGGAATAGCCTGAATCATACATAAAAGTATTGGGAAAGGACATTCTGAAGTTTGATCACTTAGCATTTTTTTCCTCTTGATCTGGATGACTCCTAGAAGGCATTATTTATAAAGTTTGCAAAAGACAACTAACAGACTTTAGAGTTACTGATTCTGTTGATTCTGACCTGTGCTTCTCTTGTTTATGTTTGTTGTTTTCAGTAAAATATGAAAGAATCAAATTTCTGGTAATTGCTTTGAAGAGTTCTGTGGAAGTCTATGCGTGGGCACCCAAGCCATATCACAAATTTATGGCCTTTAAGGTAACAGCATCAAGTATACTTATAAGTAGCATCAGCCATGCATGTATGACCAAAAGCCAGAGGACAGTTTAAAAACCCTAAACAGTTAAAAATGATCATTTAAAAGCTATGCACTAATTTAGTGTATAACTTTGTCATAAGAGAGGCCATTTCCAATGTAACAGGCCTCACTGTCTGCTTTCCGAGCCCTCAGAGTACGAGGAGAGACCTAAATTTTTGGTAGACACTGAGTGATATGTCAATATGGTAACAGAAGAAAGGACAAAATAACACCACTTCTGGTTAAAAAGCAGACTTTGGGGCACCTAGATAGCTCAGTCGGTTAAGCATCCAACTTTGGCTCAGATTATGATCTTCTGGTTCATGAGTTCGAGCCCTGCGTCAGGCTTTGTGCTGACAGCTCAGAGGCTGGAGCCTGCTTCACATTCTGTGTCTCCCTCATTCTGTGCCCCTTTCCCACTTGTGCGTGCTCTCTCTCTCTCTCTCTCTCTCTCTCTCTCTCAAAAATAAATATAAACATTTAAAAATTTAAAAAAAGAAGCAGACCTTCATCGTCTTCCTGAAGTCATGCATGTGTATAAAGATTTAGATATGTTTTTTATAATTAGTATCCAACAATAGGCAGCTTGAAGGTATTTTCAATAGAATACTAACTAAAAAATTAGAATACTAACTACAGAAATTCTTAATGACACGAGGAATATATTTTATGCATTAAGTAGGAAAAATAAGTTAAAAACATGAATAATACATTGTTTTTATTTAAGAGAAAAACTAGAAAAATGTTAGAATTTTTCTGTGTATTTTTAATGTTTTTTATAATTCTAGAGTTTGCATCAGATACAGATTTATGAAGTTCTTCAATATTACTCTGGCATTAGATATGATGAATAACTTAATGTCATTTCTAATATTAGGCACAAAGCTTTGAGCATAGCTCCTGGGGCTGTTATAGTGCAAATCACAAAATTAAGAATTTTTCACCCAAAATGATTCTGTTTACTTACCTTTTTTTCCTTGTTCTTGATACATTTTATGGAGAGTAAGTTTCAAGTATTTGGAAAATTGACATATTTAGATTGCTTACTGCTTGATTCCCCAATAAAGCAGAATAAATGGGGTTACCATATTTACTTAAAAATTAAAGCACATATTATTGACTAAAAGTAATTTGTTGTAAAATTACAGATATTTTCTGAGATCTGGTCTTAATATCCTTTATGTGCCAGATGTATTCTTAGTTGCTTTTGAAGTATATTGCTTAAGTCTGTCTTGTGAGCTGTAGGTTATTGATATTAATGAAGAACTGAGGTCATCTAGTGTATGATAGGTCATCCATGTTATTACACTGCAGTTTTTCATCACTGTATCGCTCCAGTCAAAAAATTAAAGTAGAAGTCTCTGTGGTGACTGATGACCATATAAAAATTCTCAGTACGTGATTCCTGTAAGACCTCCTCTTTCTCCGTTGTCTGCACTTGAATAGTTGAATACTGTGCTACATGAAGTCCTGATTCTTTCACTATCTTAGATGTTTTTCTCACCAAGACAAGAAAGTGGAATTCTTGGGCCGGGTAGGGGGAATTTGCGACCCGTCTTCTGGAAGAAATGTCTTCCAGATGCTGATTGACAGACTAAAGCATAATAAATTAGAGATTTGTTTCATAGAGTATTTTTGCTTATGGTTGTTTCCAGAATGGCTCAGTAATTGAATAACTGAGTACCTTGGGTTTGGCTTCTCCAATTTGATCTATCAGAAATAAGTTCTACTTTGTCTTAACTGCTTCTGTCTTGGTCACTTCTTTGTAGTCATTTGGAGAATTGGTACATAAGCCATTACTGGTGGATCTCACTGTTGAGGAAGGCCAGCGGTTGAAAGTGATCTATGGATCCTGTGCTGGATTTCACGCTGTTGATGTGGATTCAGGATCAGTCTATGACATTTATCTACCAACACACGTAAGAAAGAACCCACACTCTATGGTTGGTTGACTGGCTTCATTTTGTTTTGACTTTTTTCTTTACTCTGCTTAGTGAACTAACACAAGCAGGGATTCCTTGCTTCCCCTTGGTGTGGGGGTGAGTATTTAAATGATGTGCCATTTTCAGTAGCTGCATGCTCTGAGACAAGTGGAACTCCATTCTTTTGGCTCTGTGAAGCCCTCCTGAAAACCTCTTAGCCCTGGCTTTGACTAACATGGGATGGGTTTGGGGCAGTTGCTGGCAGGTCAGAATATCCCTGGGTTGGGAGTGGTTTTAATTAATTTCTTAATAGGGTCTACAATCCAGATATGTTCCAGGGGCCTCAGAAAATGTGAACTAGTATAGTACATGACCTGTAAAATGTACTCTTTGAGATATATGTCACATGGGTTTTCCAAAATTTTATTCAATTGCTGTATTTATTCACCTGGAATATTAACCAGTGCATTCACCAAAATAATCTTTTTGAGCACTATTTCAGGGATAGAAATAACCACAAACATACTTCCCTGTACTTCGTTCCTCTTCTCTAGATCCAATGTAGCATCAAACCCCATGCAATCATCATCCTCCCCAACACAGATGGCATGGAGCTTCTGGTGTGCTATGAAGATGAAGGGGTTTATGTGAATACCTATGGAAGAATCACCAAGGATGTGGTTCTGCAGTGGGGAGAGATGCCAACATCTGTAGGTAGGTGTCACTCAGAGGAAAAGGTGGCATTTGTAAAAGTGGAGCCTTCTCTAAAACTGCACGTATTTATCATACCAGTTCTACCTGTTGTTTAGAGCTTTTGGCCATTTTGCAGAATGGTTGGGGGAAAAAAAAAAAATCAAAAACAAACCCAGAACGGTTGGCAGTATTGATGTGGGAAAGGGAGATTGTAGACCATGGCACTGGTCATAGTCTATTTTAGAACAAAATCCAAGTAATTATTTAACACTTTTTAAAACTCTGTCATTTACAACCCTTCATTTAATCCTTAAGACATCCAGGATGTAGGACAGATGTGGTTGTTGACTGATTTCTGAAAAGTAAAATGAGACAGAAAAACGGTAAGGGATTTATTCTTTCAGAATAAATAGAACAACCAAAAACACATCCTCTTGACCTTCTAGTATGTGTTCAAGAATAAAGGTGCAGGTATAAGTGCTGATAATCTGAAATTTTTAGTTTATATCCCCCAACTATTCTGGTTTCAGTGTAGTCACTGTCTCTTCTCGTCACCTCTTCTTCCTGTCTTCTTTATGACTGGTTTAATAAAAATAGGAGCACTAAACTCTATCCAGTGGGTCATTGCTCAAGAGGAGCATGAACCAACTCGGCGATTCAAATTACCACTTTCCAGGAAAACCTTTAAAAAGTTACAAAAGCAAAGTTCCTTAAAAACAAAAATCCTCATATGCTAGCATTCAGAAAATGTGTGTATTATATGAGCAGCATCTTTTCATGGCTGCTTCCTTATCTTTAACAATTTCATGTTTTTCCCCTCTCAAAAAGCATATATTCGATCCAATCAGACGATGGGCTGGGGAGAAAAGGCCATAGAGATCCGATCTGTGGAAACTGGTCACTTGGATGGTGTGTTTATGCACAAAAGGGCTCAAAGACTAAAATTTTTATGTGAACGCAATGACAAGGTAATGGTTTCCTTACAACTTCTTTTCAGTTGCTGTTAGCTTTGGTAATGGATTATTTTCCATGGGGTTTGGTGAAGCCTTTTCTTGGGGTTTTGATAGATTCTGAAATAAATTTCAAGCAACATTTTAGTAGTGACTTTTTAGACCTGTTTATGGGAGTTGGGGTCTCTTATTTGTGTTTGCTCATGAGGAGATAGGAGTTACTTACTTCTGCTGAAATCATCGTAAGTTGTTTGTGGTGGTTGTTTTTAACCCCATTAGGTGAACTGTGTGAGCTGTGTTTGGTTTAGGGATAGAAAAAGTTAAAACTGTCAATGTAGTGGGATTCTTTTGTGATTGGAAGAGACCCCTTGCAAATTTGGTAGGGTAAAAGTGTCATCTCCCCTGATGTCCATCAGAAAGATACCACTTGTCTGCTTCTGAATAGTAAAATAACTCCATAGTTTGCATGTCAGAAATACCTAACAGTATATAAATCATTTTATGCAGAAGCATGAGCACTTCCTGCAGCTGAGACCCCAAGTCTTCAAAGACCCATTTAAAACCTTTAGTTTTCAAAACTGGCCACATCCTTGTTACCTCCAGGGCCTACTTACTCCCTGGAATCCCTTCCCTAACCAGCCTTCTTTGAGAAGGACCTCCCAGGTGGGCCTTGGCCTTTACCAAGCCCAGCTTTCTCTCTTTTCCCTCCACTTGTTTTTTTTTTTTAATTTTTTTTTAATGTTTTATTTATTTCTAGGAGAGAGAGAGAGAGACAGCGTGAGCAGGGGAGGGTCAGAGAGAGAGGGAGTCACAGACTGAAACAGGCTCCAGGCTCTGAGCTGGCAGTCAGCACAGAGCCCGATGCGGGGCTCAAACCCACGAACCGCAAGATCATGACCTAAGCGAAAGTCGGACGCTTAACCGACTAAGCCACCCAGGCGCCCCTCTTTTCCCTCCACTTGGATGAAAACATCTTACCACCTAAGGCAGCCTGTTGCAACCTTAGACACTTCCCTCTTAAGAACATTTCAACCTCTTGCTTCATATTAAAATATATTAAATATCCTAGCCACTGGCCCATTAATTGACTTCTCAGATTAAATTTGAAAACTCACCTTGACAGAGAAGAGCTGTAGATCTCTCCTTGACAGCTGGGCCTCCTGCCTAACTGCATGCTCAGTAAATATGCTGCACCACCACTAGCCCCCTTTCCTGTGGTTCTGTAGCTCATTTACTAACAGAGTTGACATTGTCTTCTGATAGTATGTCCCAAATCATTTACCTTGGAAATGCATACAACCTCCAACCCAATCCAGGATTTTACCAGCTTTTTGGCTTATATTTTCCTGAGTATATTTAATGGAGCCATAACTATAATAATCTTTGAACACTGGGCATTTAGATATTTTTATTGTTTATTATGTTCTATCCCTTAAAGTTTACTAATAAAAAGCCCGAAAGTAAATTACAGTATTTTGACTATAGAGCAATATGAAATAACATACATTTTAGCTTATTCTTTAAAAGTGAAAAGTCAGGTTGCTAAGGCATCCTCTCCATTGCTCATTGAGTTTTCCAGACACATTTATCTTTTCGATGATATTAGCAGTGGAGGTAAAAAGAAATAACTCAGTTTCAGAAATATCAGTGTTTTTCTTTTGAATTCTCACAGTATGGCAGTGATAGCCTTCTTAACTGTGATAAAAATTGGCTATAGAGATGATTTCCTTGTATATGATCAACTGATATCCTAGACTTCCTGCATTTGGAGGTGTTGAGGTGTTGGTGGCCGTAGGTCACCTGCCTGGGAACCATAGGAAGCATTGCTCTGAAGGACTGGGCTGTGTTGTGTTTTCATGGTAAATCTCTCCCTCCCTTTTTCTTTTGCTTTTGCAGGTCTTCTTCGCCTCTGTTCGGTCTGGTGGCAGCAGTCAGGTTTATTTCATGACATTAGGCAGGACTTCTCTTCTGAGCTGGTAGAAGCATTGTGATGAGGATTGCTGGCACCCAGAGTCTTCAATGAAATCCTGAGAACTTGGAATTCCTTGCAACTGGAGCTCAGAGCTGCACCGGTGTGGTCCAGGACAGCTGTGTGTGCAGACACCACGTGTGGGGTGTTTTGTTTTTGTTTCCTTTCCTTTCTGCACCTCTTACCAGTTTATCCCCCTTATCTTCTTTTTCCTACTCAAAAATAAATCAAGGCTGCAATGCAGCTGGTGCTGTTCACATTCTACCATCAGGTGCTATAAGTGTTTGGGATCGAGCATCAGACCAGAAAGCAAATGCCTTTCCTTCAGCTCCAGAATTCCTTGTCTCTGAGTGACTCTATCTTATGGGTATCTGAAAGTGGAGACTATGAACATGCCGTTGGTTTGGAAGTGGGCACACAAAGGTGTAAAATGGTGGTCTCGTGAGCAGTTCGCTGAAGCAGAGAGCAAATTTAATATAGTAACATTAACAGTGTATTTAATTGACATTTCTTTTTTGTAATGTGACAATATGTGGTCAAAGAAGAAGGTGCAGGTTTAAGAAGTTAATATTTATAAAATGTGAAAGACACAGTTACTAGGATAACTTTTTTGTGGGTGGGGCTTGGGAGGCGGGGGGGGTGGGTTAAGGGGGTTCCATTTTATTTGAATTTTTTTTTTTTTTGGCTTGGCCAAAAGCTCTGTCATTTTTCTGTGTACCAGGTTTTGCCTAAATCATGTGCAGATGGTTCTTAAAAAAAAAAAAAAGAAAAAGAAAAAGTGTGCATTTGTATAATGGCCAGAACTTTGTTGTGTGACAGTATTAGCACTGCCTCAGCTAAAGGTTTAATTTTTGTTTAAACCTAGAAGCGTGACAAGTTTTACCACAGTCTGCACTTGCAGAGGAAAAGAAATTGTTTCAGCCACATGTTTATTTTTTTGCCTACCTCATTGTTTGTAATGAATTAAGAGGTGGTTTAGTTTATATGTTTTTGGAGGAAAACATTAATGTTTAATTTAATCTTAATACCAAAACTATCAGATTAAAGTTTGACTGTTATTTTGTCACAGGTCTCAGTAGGCATAAGAGAAATTGTCCCTGAAGATGCGAAATAAGCCACATGGCTTCATCGTGCTGATGGATGCACTCTGTTTTTTCTAAGTTCAGAGAACAGAATGCTTCGTTTTCACCAGATGCACCATTAGCGGTTGATGGGCAACTATGGCCTCTAACACAAGGGGCCTGACTGTTCTCAATTCGGGGTTTGGTAGCAGACGGGCGGTCATGTTAGAATAGTCACACAAACTGTTCAGTGTTGCAGGAACCTTTTCTTGGCAGGGGTGGGGGGGTGGAGTTTCCTTTTTCTAAAAATGCAATGCACTAAAACTATTTTAAGAATGTAGTTAATACTGCTTATTCATAAGATGGCATCTTCCTGTGTTTTAGGTATAATATCAAAGCCCTGGCTTTTCTCCTCCTCTCACTTGGTCTCTTGTTCTCTCTCTGTTTTTTAAACCAGTTTTACTTTATGAATATGTTCATGACATTTGTAATAAATGTCTTGGGTAATAATTTGTTTCATGGCTTCATGGTCACTCCATTCCTCTGAGACTGTCAATGTCTTGGTAAAGGAGCGATGCTGTGTGTGGCTGTGCCATCTTAACTTGCCTCTTGTTGAGTTCTGAGTGGGAACATTGCTTGATGGCTACTTTAAACCTTGTTTACCAAACACAACTTGATATTTCATAGGCTTAATCCTTCTTTGTGGTGAAGTTTCTTTTATAACACGAAAAAGGAGGATTTTCCTCCCAAAAGTATAACGGTCATTTGCACCTGTTTGTCAAGACTTTGCCCAGCATTCTCATCCTGTTTGGCATCCAGTTTGAGCCCTGTCATTCTCTTCCTCCTGGTTCAGCATCTTTGCCAAAGGCTATCCTTTGAATTATAAAAACCTAGCAAAGAATCTGTATACTCACAGATGCAGAAACAGTAGCTGGTTGTACAATGACACATTAGCTAAAAGCAAGCCTGTCTCTTTTGAACAGGACAAGGCATTGGAAATGGCTTTTCCATCTGTATGACTTTGGGGATGCTGATGTCCAAAGCAGAAAGGACTAGTTCTTTTCTACTAATTCATAGTTAACATAGAGAAGATTGAAGAGTTAATCCCACCTTTGGAAGGGACTTTTGAGATGGGCCAGATGCCATCACCACAGGATTTCAGTCAAAATCAAATTACTGCTGGTGATTTCCTACATGTTTTGGTTTTGGGGATAAGATGAAATGTGCCACAGTGAACACGTGTGCATGCCAAGAAGAGAAAGAACTGGATAGCTTGGTCAATTGTAGTCCCTCCCATGACTTTGAGAGAGGTAAAGTTGAACAGGTATCTGAAAAAACACTGAATTTCTGGTACCAGTAAGGAAGACAGAAAAAAGTACTTATCCACAGACTTGAAGCTCAGTGTCTATAAGTCAAGGGGGGTAGTGGGGGCAGAGATAATGCACATGACTTTTCATTGGAATCAATGAGTATTTAGAACTTGACAAAAACTGGATTTCCTTTTGGAGGTAGTGGGGTCTGCGCCCAGACCAGAATTGTGCCTGTCCTGGCAGCCACCTAGCACCCTTGGTGTTACTGTTGAGCATAATCAAATCCATCTGTGTGCTTAACCCACTGAGGTCAGACTGCCATTTGTCCTTGTGGGGTGGGCTCCTGGTGTGTGGTTTGCTTGGCTGTGGCGTCCTTGCCTTCTTGGCCCAGCACCTCGTCTCCAGATTGTGTTGCTACAGCTTGGGTCAGGTACGCAGTTAGGTACCTGGCATAATCTCCACTAAAGATTATGAGCAGGTGTAATTTCTTTCTTCTAGAGAAGGGATGACCTTTTTTTTTTTTCTTTAACAGGGTAGTGACTTCACAAAAGTGCCAAGATGGCAAAATTATAAAAGAAGACAGTATTATACCATTAAATATGGAACATTGAACTACTTAGCACTGCTCTTCAAAACAAAATACAGATGTCTCTAGGTATAGGCAAGCTTTAATAAGTAATACCTTTCTGTATTTAAATCAGAGTAACTCTGTATTGAGTGCAGTGTTTTTACTTTTTTCTCATGCACATGTTATGTTGAAGAAAATGTTTACAAAAATGGTTTTGTTTCACTAATGTGCATCATATTTATGGTTTATTTTTAAGTGATTTTTTTTATGGGTTACTTAGGTTTCTGTCTTAGTTGTAGTTCACTGACAGTGATTCATAATTCTTAACTTTGCCAATTATAAATTTGCTAAACAGTAATACAAATGACAGTCAGACTGCATTAAATTTACTAATACTACAGCTGCAAAGCAGACTGGTGGCAAATACATGCCCCCGCCCCCACCCCAAGTGCTAACGTGTCTTCTGTGTATTATGAAAATTAATGTTGTCCCTCCACCTTTCTCCTTAAATAAAGAAAAATGACACCTATTTTATGTGGCATGAGTTTCAAATATATTCTGATCCTTCAGAATGTTTCCTTCCATGAGGATCCATATTTTATACACACCTCCTTCCCCAGTGCTACCCTGGCTAGAGAGGGTGGCTCCATATCCTGCCGTCTCCCATAACAAGGATGTTTGTTCAAGGTGAGCTCTTGATCTTGAAGCCAAGAATGGGTAAAGCTGATCCTTAGAAAGAAATAAGGTTTTGGTTTTGCAAGTCTGAATTGAACCAGAAAGTAAAGTAGCACAACGTTTGTATCTAATAGGACAGTTAAGGTGGCCCTGTCTCCATTAGGCACTGTAAATACTAACTTAGGCCTAGTAATTGGAATGTCTCTGTGGCTAAGCCTTGGGGTGTCCCTCACTGATTGCCGCCAGAGATCTGGCAGGCGGGATCCCCATTGGACAGAGCTAGGACCACATCACTGTGACCAGCACCTTGGCCCAGACTCCAGGGTCGCAGAGGAGGTGTCGCACTACATGATCATAACTCAGATGTTAATAAGCCAGCTCCTTTGTGCTTCATATTAGAAACATGGTGTTTCTCTAAGGTGAAAATAAAATTGTAAGTACCTAGGCCACCGAGTGAGTATTTTATTTTTTTTCTTTTCCTAGTTGATATTTGTTGCAGCTAGTGGATGATTAGGAATAAAAGTCTTGTGGAGGGCTAGCTGTCATTCATTCTTCCTGTTCCTACTTTGTCCTCCACTGCGTGGACCTCTCTAAACAAGCAACCAGGATGAAAACAGCCCCTATAACTGATATCAGCTCTGTGTTTTGGCATTGCATTCAAAGTTACGGTAAAATTGCTGCCTCCTCTGCCATCTGTGACTTCAACAACACAGATACCCGTGCTTCACTTTCCGAGTACAGTTCACACTTGAACAAGGTGGGACTAGGGGCACCGACCCCTCATGCCATCCAAACTCAGTATAACTTTCAACTCCCCAAAAACTTAACTATCAGTAGCCTACCGTTGATTGACTAGAAGCCTTACTGATAATGTAAATAGTCAACACATATCTCCTATGTGTGTTATATACTGCATTCTTAAAGTAGGCTAGAGAAAAGAAAATGTTATTTAAAGTTACAAGGATGAGAAAATACATGGACCCACACAGTTCAAATGTGTTCAAGGTCAACTGTAGTTATTAGAAAGTAAAACTGGAAAAAAAAGAAAAAACAGTTAAGGAATTAAAGGTTGGGCATAGCCATTAATGCATTTTCTTCTAGGAGAAATAACATACTCAGATGTAAGTTCTCATACCTGGTCCGCTTCCCTTTTCACCTGAAGTTTAATTGTATCATATCCAGGTTTAAAAATCTTTGTGAAGCTGTCCCATTTCTGCCTTTGCCTCACTTAACTTCCCTGTGTTTACAGTCTAAAACCTCTCCTATTCCCCAATAGCCGAACATGGCATTGCTTTGTTTACTCTTTGTTTCCATCTGAATACAGAGTCTGCATATGAGCCGAAGTTGGTTCTTCAGGTTAACCATTTATTAAATCCAAACTTCTCTGTTCCTCAAAAACTGCCAAACATGTTGCTGGTGCTGAACAGGCACTCAGAAATTCCTGGTTATTTGCTTAAATAGCATGAAATTAAAACCTGGGTGTTAGTCCAAGGGGAAACCACACCCCTATGCCATGTGGGACTTGTAAGGAAATGCGGTGGTGTAGACAGGTCCTGGGAAATGGGGGGGCGGGGGGGGAGTCTACCTCGTTGGGCACAATGCCACCCAGTACCCTAATGTACTCTAGTGCTTACCTGTCCCTGTTGCTGCAAGCTGGCTGGCTGTAATAACAGTGTAGGACCCTTGATTCCTAAGTCCTATCTCCCAGTTTGCTCGATTATAGGAAATGTGAATTTGATGGTCCAGTCAAAATGCCCACTGGAAGGATGTGGAGCTTTGAGCAAGGCGATCTTGTCACTTCCTTAAATTATGTCCCTTCAGACATAATTATAAACATTAGAAACCAGTATTAAGTAACTTTTTCACAATAGATGATCTTAAA